TGTGTGTCTGTCTGAGTGTGTCTGTGTATGTCTGTGTGTGTGTGCGCACGCGCGTGTGTGAGACTGGGATATTATATGAAAATAAAAATATTACTAGTGATTGTATATACTCAGTGATTTTACAGATTAATTTTTTTTCACTTTTATATTTTAAAATCTCCAAAAATGACTATACTTCTACAAGTTAAAAATTTGATATATGTAAATATATACTTTATTGTTTTATATATTATATATTACAGTATTATATAACATATAATTATATATAATATATAAAATGTGTCTAGCATATATATAGCTTAGCGTATATATATATATATATATATATATATATATACATAGCTTGTATCAGAACGATAGAAAGCAGGATGAAATTTAAATTTACATATATCAGAGAATGCTACAGCCATGATGCATGCACATGGAAATACGTTTTCAAAAACAGAAGCATATGAAGAAGGCATAGCACATAAAATGAGTCAGGAGAGGGAATGGTAGCAACCTAATTAGACAAAGGGCCTGATGTCAGAAAATAAACTTAAATTGCGCAGTACATTTTCATAGCTACAATTTTTCACACCTAATCAACAGAAAGGCCTTAAAATATCAACAGCTTCTGAAAGTGAAGTAGTTCAGACAGACAGTTTTTGCAGCACAATGAATAGAAGGTTCATGGGAAATGGAGACATTCCCGGAGAACAAGATACTCAGTCTTACACTACAGCACCAGGTAAATCAGAGCAGAACGCGTAACATCCAGGTGGGAACCATGACACGCACCTACCCGGGGTGTGCTGCCTCTGCTGGGGCCAACACCTGGGAGAAGGTATGATGGAAAACAAAGGACCAGAGATGGGCAATTTTACTATAAGGGAAGAATTTACGTCGCTGATCTTCCAAGATAAGAGCAGGACAGAAAAATATCTTCCAAAGTTTATAAGGTCATATATGTCATTGGCAGAATGGAAATAAGCAGTGAACGACCAAACTAATATGGCTGTAATTAAGGCAGACCCAAGGAAAATAAGAGAGTTTGATGGAATGGAAAACATACGAGGTGCGTTATCCCACTGCATGTAGCAGGAACTCCTCAACCCTTCCCAGCCCCATAAGCCTCAGGACTTCCGGGCTGCTGCCTGCCTCTCAGGTCTCCGCGCTTGTCCCACCTCCTTCTCCGGGACCAGCCACACCGGCTTCCTCCAGCTCCGCTAACAAGCCTCTGCCTGTGAAGCTTCTCTCCTAGTTCGGAAATGGAAAAACAACTCATGGGATAAAATCCTTTATTTAGCAATCGTGAAACTCTCTTTTAAAACAGCAACAACTTGGAGACACTTGTCTAGTCTAAGTCTTGTGGGAAATGGTTGATAATCTTTAAAGACCTTCGTTAGACCAGCAGTTCACCTTGGTTCCCAGTATTCAAATCAATGCTGTTTTAGTAGATAACATTCATATCACTTTATAAGTCACAAGAGTCTTGGAATTATCTCCTCTATTCTCTTTACGCATAAAAGTAAATAAATTGATGACTAGTAGTATATCCTTTATCTTGAACACCATGTATGTATGGGAGACACACTAACCCACAGTTGCCCATCTCTGCTTAAGACAAAGGTGGTTCTGTAGGCAGAGCCTCACTCTGGTGCTGAAAGATACAACGGTAACAAACCAGGTGCAGCTGGAAGCTGACCAGGTAATTTAACTGCAGTGGTCAGGCAGCCAGCAGCGCAAGCACCCTCCATCCTCAGCTGCTTGTAGTGAGAGCAGTAAGTAGCCTTTAATGCATCACACATGCCAGGGGCTGGACTGAACAGAGAGAGAACAGCATCTCTCTATGTCCAAAGGCCTGTCCTTTCTCTTAAAGGACCGATGGCAACTGACATTGAAAAGAGATCTGGATGCAGAAAGGAATTTGAAAATTCTCCTCTGGTCAGTTTTAGCTTTTCATGAATTTCAGAGCTTTTCCTGCTGCACCGTAAGATTGTCACTCGGTCAAAAGTGGAGTAAGCAGCCTGCATGCCTTGAGAATTCAACTATTTTGCCTTTGAAACTATATATTGTTCAAAGTACAGTACATGTTGAACTTTGTGGGTCATGACTCACAGTAAGAAATACATCTTACGCCAGAACCCAGCACGCACAACGCACATACAACTTAAAACAAGTTTCAGGAAAGTTACCCTTCTTACATGCAATGAACATGGAATCTATCTCATGTTGTCTTCTGTTTTAATGCTGGCTCCATAGCACAAATTGGTTTCATGACGCAGGAATGGGTCACAATCTACAATCTGAGAGACACTGCTGTCATGCACACGTGCGATCTGGCCTCTGCCTACCTCTCAGACAACATCTCATGCTATTCTCCACTATTCCTCCCCCACTGCTGCCACCATCTCATATCTTTTTTTTTTTGTATTCAACCATAGGTCCGTTCCTGAAACATACCAAGCTCTTCGCTGTCTCAGGGCTGTTGACCTTGTTAGTGCTGCCTGGAACCTTTCCTTAGATCTGTGCACCTCATTCAGGCCTCAAGACAAAAGTCACTTCCTCAGAGAGGCCTTCAGTGACCACCCAATTTGAAGGAAACACACATACACCCCTACCTC